CGAGAGCTCGTCAGCAACCTGCTCTGTCATCTTTTCCAAGACCTCTGGATGGTGTTTGTACACCCAATCTGGAAGGCCAAAAAGCACATGTCTGGTGAGGTAGGAGTGGCCTGTGCATGTAGTGCCTTGCTTCAGGGCGGCTTCCTCCATCGGCGTGTACGGGCCGGCTGCTTGCTGGCCCGGAACAACCTGCTGCGGTGCCTTCCTCACATCTTCTTCGCAAGTGCAACTAAAGTCCTCGGCCACGTCCTGCAAACCAATCGGCGACTCGATGGCAACCACTACGAAGTTGCCTCGCTTCGGGCCCTTGCCTTCATCTGAATAAAAAGCCAATGGAATCGTGGTCCCGAGGTCCAGCCCTCGCTCGAACACCGGATGGGTGCTGTGTGTCTGCCTGTAAGCCATCCAGTAGGCCTCCAGCTGGAACTCCAAAGATTCGTTGCCCCCAGCGAGCAACGAACGATTCCGTTTCAAGAGATACAGCAACCAGTCTTGGACTCGTATATAAGCAGTCTCAGCTTTCTCTCTGTCGTCCAGCACGAAAGTTTTTTCGGTTATTGGCACAGGCAAAGATAAACCCCAGTGCTTAAAATACCTGTGGCAATCTCTCTCCTCGTTCGGGGCCTCTCTCCTTTTGTGCTCCGGCTCGTCCGGATGCTGCATCTGTCGGATGCACCGCTTGGCATCCTTGGCACTGGCCTCGGCGAAGTAGTTTTCGCTGACGATAAAAAAGTAGGATTTGTCGCTTTGCTCGTGCGGGCTTAGGGGTTTTATCGTACCTCCTATAAGACCCTGAGCCCTACACCCTAAATACACATCTTTCATGACTTGGGTCTGGCCCTAAACCCTAGAAGGCAGCGACTTGGGTATGTCCCTAAGCCCTACATTCCTATCGACTTGAGTCTTGATGACTTGGGTCTGGAGGTTTTTGTTTGGAGATTTATTTGTCGAGCCGGGCACAGGCCAAGGGTTCTGTCTGTGGTTCGGGCCTTCAAAAGCATTTGGGATGGCTATAAATCTTCAAGGGGGCTCGGTCTTCCTGTTTGGTGCAGCTAGCTTTGATCCCTAACTCTACGACCTACACACCTGCACAAGCTTCTTGGCAAGCAAGGACCAGAAAGCTCAGGACTTAGGTGTTATCCTTTGCGGGAACAGGTTTTGGATTGTCTGAGGGGTGGGCTTGGATACCTATGGGTGGTGCTACAAAGTTCGGGCTTGCTGTCTTTCAACTTTTGCAGAATACTGAATGGAGAAAAAGGTAGAAAGATCAGTCGTTGTTTCTAGGCCTCGGGGGTTCTTCGGTTTTGAGGCTTTGGCTTTAGGTTTCGTGCTTCTGGGTTTTGGGACCTGGGGTTTAGGACTTCAAGGCCTTTTATCCTGCCTGCAAAAAAGCGAATCTTGCATCTGGCAAGAAGGACGGTTCCATGAACATTTATTGAAACTTCATAGCTATTAGCCTCTGAAAACCCATGCCCAAATTATCATCCTAAAGGTTTAGCAAGAATGACTCCAATAATTGCCAATAGCTTTTACTCAGAGACCTTTTCTGAACCTCTAGCCCAATGTCGAAAGTAGACCCCACCACTTCCGAGGACCCCGACTCCTTCCCCGAGCATTTCAGCATACTGTGCCACTCGCCCGAACGTGTCTTCATCCGAGGAACCTGGCGTGGGAAGGACTAGGATTTCGGTTTGAGAATATATAGGTTCCTGGTTTTAAGGCCTCCTGGGGTTTATTGGGTTTTGGACTTTAGGGTTTAGGGTTTCCTGGTACAGGGGTATTCAAGGCAACCAGCTAGCACCTAGGAGTGCTTGGTTTCATGAATGCATGAAGAAAAGGCCAGGTTCGGGCTTCGGGTTTGGCTTGGGCGGAGGGGGGTCAGTATCGATACTATTCTAACAAAATGCCAATCGCCTCTAGCTGTCAGACTTTTGGGGGCTCCTACACTAGGTATTTGAGGTTTGGTTTAGATTATTCGGCGTAGTTTTAAAGGTCGGCTGGGGTTTAGGGTTTAGGGTTATGAGCTTTGCATTTGGAGGCAGGGTGCAATCTTTTTGGGCTCCCTCCGGAAGGTGTCGGCCGGTCCAGCAGCTATTCCAAGCCACTGCTTCAAGCACATGAAACAGCTCAGCAGTTCTGTCGAGCTACATTGTGCAAGTTTGGCAACGAAAGTCCTAAGCATTGAAACCCAATACCATCATATCGAACTGCTTGCCGAGCTGATGGCAAAAACTTTAAGCATCTACTTCTTGGGCTTTTTAGGCGGCGGCTTCTCGTCATCAGTGTCGTCCTGCGTTTTTTTCTTGCCACCCGTTTTAGCCTTCGGAACACCCTTGGCTTTTGCTTTCACCTTTGGCTCGGCACTCTTGGCTTCGGAGTTCACGGGAAACCTTAGCGATTCGACATTAAGCACCGGCGATACACGGCAACATGCAAACGAAGCAAACAGGTTGCTTTGCGGTTTAAGGACTAATGAAGCTTTTGGTGCTAGGGGTTCAGGGGTTTAGGGCTTGGGGGTTTAAGGCTTAGGGGTTTAGTGGTTCAGGGGCTTTGGGATTCGGCGGTTTAGGGCGTAGGGATTCGGCGCTTTAGGGCTTAGGGGTTTACAGTGCTTAGGGATATAAGATAGGCGACTTGAAGTTCTTCGAACGGTCAAAGATCATCTCCGCCTCGACGGCCCTTAGCATGGTTACTCACAAAGCATAAATTTGGCGTGAACTACGACATGTCCCTCTGACCAATTACACACCGAGT